TGTCGGACTCCAAAAATCTTGTCGTATTTGGTGACGATCAGTGCGGAAAATCAACTTTGATTTGTCGGCTTCAGGGCAATGAAGACAAGCGGGAAGGATTTGGTCTCGAATATGATATAATCGAGGTGAAAGATGAAGTTAAAGATGGTAGTTATGCAAACAACATAATAACATTTAACTTAGTTTCCGCAAACCTGAGCGTCTCCGTTATAGATGGAAACCCTATTCAAAGCTATCTGCTAAAATATGTGATGACCGAGGACTCGCTCAACGACCAAATGGCTATTATAGTCGTCAGCATAAATGAACCTTGGAAAATAATTGAAGCTTTGGAAAAATGGGCAGAAATACTTAATAAACACATCAATAAACTAAAACTGTCAAAAGAAATGATAAAAGCTTGCAAATCAAGGAGTAAGCTGAACTCAATTATTTGATTGGTTTGTATGATTTCTGATTTTCTCAGATTCATATTTCTGTACTGAAGACAGATGGTCTACAGCTTAAGTCAGTTCTTTAACAGCATGCTTCTGAGAGTTTCTGATCTTCTTTTGAATGAGTCAATTGAAGGGGCGGACACCACTTTTTAGGATAACGGAGTCAGAAAATTCATGACTCGTTGTGAAAACCTGTATGCTATATGTTTTTGGTTCGTTCTTAACTTTTGTACTTGCCTGGTATGTCATCAGTGTTGTCCTAATCTGGTAGAATAAAAGGAAGACGAAATATTGAATTCAAAATCCTTTCGTAGCATTCTATGTATTAAAATCTGACTATGAATTAATCTGTGGTAGGACAGAGTAAAGAGGTCTAGCTTCTTAAGCCACTCTATTTCTGATAAACAACGATGTTCTGGAGTCGTACGGGTAGTTACCCTCTGTATATTTTCCAGGATATCCGAGTCATCTTTCAAAAGGAGACCTGCAAACCGAATGCAGTTTTCAAGTTTAGACCACACTAAGATTGTGTGTGCTATTTTAGTGGCCCGTATATTGCCTGGTCCACCACACTATAATGAATATCTTGTAGTCTAACTTAGTAAACATCTGTCTTGAAGATCATAGGGTTCTAAACACCTTTGTTTTGGCCTCTATCATTCTGGAATCCTTGTGAGACCTGACTGAGGGTACTGACTCTTTCCTTATGCTGTAACCGTTTACCGTTGTATTCCCAAAGTGCATATAAGAACACTTAGTCGCGTTGACAGACATAAGCCAGTTTTTAAGCGCGGCTAATCAGAACATACAAGTCTGCCCGAAGTGCACATGCATCTACGTCTCCTGTTACTTCCCACCAGATTTGCACATCATCAGTGTTTAGTAACTGCGGGAACTCAACTTTACTTGGGGGTTTATTTGGACACAGTATAAAAAGTAAAGGATCTACGATAGAGCCTTGAGGTGCACCACTAAATACTCATTTCTAGGAGCAGCACTTGGAATTCATTCTTACTTTCTGTCAGCGATCTGTCAATAAATTTTTGATACACTTTAGATGTTCGGTAATTTCTAGATTTCGAGTTTCAAGAGCAGTCTGTTTTTCGGCACCATATCAAATGCCTTGTTGAAGTTTTATGCAAAAGATAATCTTTTCCTGAAACTATTTTGTCCACTGTTTAACAATGTTTTGGTTACCACGAATGCTGTTGTAACCTCTTTGACTACTACTTCCAGTATAATAACCGGGACACTGGTAAGGATGACAGGTCTGTAGTTTGATAAATGTTTTTCTGGATCCGTTTTATATATCATAGAGACAATTGTATTTTTCCAGTCCGTAGGTAACTCATCTTGGCTGAGTGGTGTATTGAATGTTGTAGTCCGCGGGGTACCAATATATTGTACAATTCGCCTCAATACTTTAGGATGTATTTCATTCGATCTTGTTGATTTATTCGTGTCTAAAGCACTGAGGGCCTTGACTATTTCACCTTGATTAAAGTTCACAGTGAACAGCCGGTTTTGTGACTTTGTACTTTGGCCTGGTTCGTCGTTTGTTAGAGGCTCCTGAGTGAAAACTATCCCGAAATATTTTGCCATGACCACTGCATTGTCCTGGCCTTTAACTATTATTTGAAGTCTATTCCCATCAGTAATTAGGTTGGAAATCCAGTGATGGGTTCGTGTTCTGTCATTTTTGTACGAAAACAGTCTATTCATCTGCTTGATTACAGATTGGGGCAAATGCTATTCATTTTATCTCTAAACAGCCCAGATTGTAATTATACATTTATTTTGGACCGATTTGTAGCATTCGATTGTGTCCACTGTTTCAAGGCTGATGGCGAAATTCCAACGTTTTGTCATTTGTCTTAGCAAACATCGAATATTCTGATCTATCCACGGATGGCAGTGATTCTTCTTCTGTGAGACTATGCAGGATATAAAGGTTGGGCTATTTGATTGTACAACCACCAGGAATGAGTTCATGCCTCTTCTACCGAAGCATCTGACTCACTTTTCCAGTTTTCAGCCGAGGCTGAGGTGTCGATTGCCTTCATGTTTTCCCCACATATGTTAGGACGGGGCGGCGCAACTGCTTAAAGACCACAACAGCCATTAACGTTAATAAGATGACCCCATGGTCAATTCTCTTTGTACATAGAGTAAACATTATTTGACCGACATAACCGTATGTGAAGATTAGGTCCAAGAGAAAAGAGGAGTTCTGTAGGTCGTATCTGGTGGGATCTCTATTATACTTAAATGAAGCCAGGGCGACTGTGGTTTAATGCACTGCGTAATCAAACGATGTTTTTATTGATGCTACTTCTGAGTTTCCCCAATTCGCAGAAAGTGCATTAAAGTTACTTTCTATAAGGCTTTTACACATGTTTGACCAGAATTTAAGTTGACTTAGGAGGAAGTCGTCTATGACACATTTTGGACTGTGGTATACCACAGTTACTACAATGTTTTGTCCTCCACATTTCACTACGTCAGTTCACATATTTTTGATTGATCTGCCACTGCATCTACAGACCGTATGGTTAGGATGATTTTCATGTACAGGATAACACCATCACCTACTGTTTAGTTTGTCAGCCATATAAAATAAGTAACCAAGCGACCGGTCTTCATTATGATACACTTCTAGCGTTAACCATGTTTCTGAGATGGCAGTCATATCGAGGTTTTCTGTTTCCATCATATCTTCAAGCTCCACTACCAGCATTTATATAGAATACCTTTGATGTTGTGAAAAACTCTTTCGTACCACTCCGAGTGGTTTGGTGATCGTTTCGCTCTGAACTTTAACAATGTGAAATATAGGGCATTTTTACCATTGAGGTACTATCTATTTATTTCTACCTCTATCGATTGTCACTCAGTACGAGCAACCAGGCTGAGATATTCATGGACATATATTCCGGATCCAGAAAGTTTGCGCGAAATTTCCGGTATCAGGTCTCATTCTTCAGTAGAAGCAAAGTACCTCTTAAGAGGTGGCTTGTATGTGTGCCTTTGGAACCCACATTTTGTCCTATTCTATAGAGCTTATGAATGCTAACTCCTGCCACTCTTTCCGAGAGTAGCTTGCTTTTAAGGACTTATTGCGATTTATATAGTGTTCAAATCTAGCTTTCGACCATTTTTGGAAGGCTCTATTAATTTATAAAAAATTACTGGCCCGTAATCAAGATTGGTTCTGAGAGGCTGTGAGATTTCGTTTCATAAACTCTTTTCATCCCTGCAGTCCGATTCGACATCAGACGTGCAAGTTTCATTCTTTTATCTTGATTTTTCAAATGCTACTGCTGGCAAGTTATTGACCTTATTTCGTTTCCTGATCAAATCGTATGCATTGTTCAGGCTTTGCTCCTTCCCGGTCTGTTTGTGTTGTAAACTTATATATTTTAGACCTCTCTGAAATTTGTTCTTTCTTAATGTACTTCCTCTTCTTCTTTGAAACCATGGCTACATATGTGTATTTGTTACCCACTACTTTATAGGGGTCCAAATTGGTGGTTTTATTCAAACCTATAGGTGGACTCATGATGATGCTCTCTGCTTCTCCAACCTATGACAGCTGCTTATCTGCCAATGGCTGTCTATCTGAGGGGTTTGTTCTAGCTGTGTTTAGCAGCCTGATCGCCTCAAGAATCAGCCAAGACTTTTGAGGGCAGCATGGCTTGCAACGCCTTTTATATTCAGCCGGTGTGAGTTTTGTGCGCATGTTGTGATATCACTTGTTGCGATTGTCACACTGCATTCATTTCTCCACCGGAAAGAAACATGTGGGTCTATCACAGTGGCGTTTTGTTTGAGCAATTAGAATTGTTGAGTGAGCTCACGGAAAGAAAAACGCAAAAGTCTCCTTAAGCGCGGAAAAAAAACTTGTATCTAGAACAAGTACTTTTAAACCGCTAAACGTGGTAGACATAACACAAACACTGGAACTTTTATGTTACTGCAACTAAAAATTCAACCAAAATAAACATAAAAGAAGCCTTTACACGTTAGAACACACTTAAAACTAAAAAATTACTCGACGAGGAAAAATACCACTATCGTTTTTAAATAGCGCGCCACAAGTTTCATCACCTGTGCATGGAGACCTATACAAATTTACTGTTATATTATTATGTGTATTACTCATAAGTTCTGAAATTTTAAATATTTCTCGGGATCAGATGGCTGTAAACACTTAATAATGAGTAACTGCAGTCAGATATGTGAACATCCTTCGAATCAGTCAACCATGGATACGTATATGAAGATTTCATATTTTTATCTTATTCTATCATTGTTGCTTAACCGGAGACAGAGACTGTTCAAAGTATTTGTGATTTATCAGCAGAGAAATTCGAGACTAACAAACTTTCGTGTCCAGAGGTCTTGTGAAGTATGGAGAAAATCCAATGGAATCTTTTTTTATCTTATAAATGAGTGTATTAAATTGTAGATAAGATAATTAATTAAGATTATTTAGGTTTGTTTCTGAAAACTCTTCGTTGATTATGACTCACGAAACGTCGCAGGGATCGCAGATAATTTTTGCCCAAATATAAATCGACATTTTGTACAGGTTTACAGAAAATATACTCCAAAATTCAGCCGGTTTCAAGGTACGTATCCTACTCTTACCGGTAACTATGATGTAGATAATTTATTTATTTTGGACTTTCGTTCAAATATCAAATTACGTAACTCAGAAAGTCTAATGGTGTTTTGCCATGAAAAAACGTGCTACAAATTGATACAAAATGACTATGGTATCAATATAAAACTTTGAATAATAAAAACATAATTGAAAAACGTAGTTTCTTTAAGATTTCGTCGAAAACGGAACAGCATTATCAGCTAGATTCAGACAATTTTATCTATGATATGTATACTCTTTATGATTACATGATCTTCGCGTAGACCCTAAATGCTAGGATATATTTTTACATCATTCCGTAACCAAAGTTTGCAGACCGTTCTCGAATTCTTTTCCAGTATTCTCCATTTTTAAAATGCGTAAAAGAAGGAATTATTTTAATTACAGACTGTGTTGCATTAAATCAATTTTTGGAGACAATTCTGTGTTATGCGTCCGTAAATTTCCGTAGCATAGTATTGTCTAGATCGAATAAATCTTTTAAATTGTCAGCATATACTTGTCAGTTGTTTGAAGCTAATAGATACTATTTAATATTCACTTATGAATAATTTGGATGATCATGATCAAATACTTGATAACTACAAGAAAGAATACTGGGTCATTGATATTTATCCTATTTATAATTTGACTAAGTTAGTTGAAAATCATATTTATCGGCTAAGATTCATAAGTCTAACATTAGGAATAATTGCAGAAGACAGCTGAGAGTTTTATACTTGAAGTAAATGTGAAAGACAAAAGATTATGATCATGAAGTTTCTAGGTTATCTTACAGAATCTTCTGCTCAAACACAAGCCATATGTAATTTTAATTCATATTAATGGCTTTGAAACTATTATGAAAATTGACTGTTGACTCCTTTCTTAGCATAAAATTCAGGTTCGGAAGGTAATCTAAACATCGAGCAGCAAAAGTAGATTCCTGAAATTTGTAACCGTATGTCATAGATATAATTGGTACGCAATACACTAAATACAAGAGACCTCTAACCTCAATAAATTTACACAAAATGGAGACCAAGATATAATTTCATAGTGTTCCTATGATCATCTACACAGGTTATTATAGCAACAATCATAATCTAGAGTAGTAAACGTTTTTACGATCTATTGTCTAGTTCAACAGCTTCATCAAGAAATAAAATTCCGAAGCTTTATGTTGTTAGAAATTCATTACATTAAGCTTAGTAATACGAAAAAGAATTTCTAAATGGTTTGTATGACTGCTTCATTGTTGAACTGAAATCTCAGTAAATTCGATCTGGAAAAGATCAGAACAAATATACATCCAATATGCTCAGGGTTCTGTGATTTACTAAATTGTTAGAGAGTTCAATTGCCAGTCTGTTCAGTGACTATTTAAATAACGGTTTACCACTAACCCTAGAGAATTACTTTTCACTAAATTATATTTGGAAATACAATTGGCCATTTTAAAACACTGAGAGGTTCTATTGACAATGAAAGCAGATGCTTAGGTAACATTAAAGCATAACTTGTTTCGTCTATATTTCAGTTTCAAAAGAATTTTATGGCTACGCTGAGCCAGAAGCGTCAACAAATGATATTATTAATCCAGTAAATTTAGCTTCACTGTCCACTATGTATGCAACATCTCAAGAAACTACCCCTCAGTTATCATTTTTAAATGATAATGAGTCGTTTATTGAAGAAATGTACGAGGATAATGTATTAAATAACAATCTTGGTGTACCGTTAACCGTTGTTGTAACAAAGGTAAATGATTTGATGAAAAATATCATATTCAAAAATAACTCATAAATAAGTAGGAATTATTTCCTTTTTATAGTTTTCATTTCGATGGCACTTATATTTTTGCCTCTTTAAAGTTGTAACTATCACCCATCCAGTTTATAAATGTTAATAGACGTAGAATTTGATAGGGGTGTGTATTGGTGGGAATAACATTACTTCAAATTAACTCAAACAGAAGAAGTTAACTGTATATGAAACGTAAGTTGGTCAATATGACCAACTACAACGGAAACCCAAACAAAAATGATACGGTTAAAAAATGAAAAATTCGACTTTAGAATGAAGGGTTAGGAATAATGATATGTCGAGATTTAGTGGAAGTTATAAAATAATTATAAACATGGCATATTTCATGTTCGACTTGAATATTTCTACTGGTGTCACTCAGTTAAAGATTACTTGTTACATTTGTGATTTTTTATGAGAATTTTACTCCAAAACAGAGGTAAGTAGTCGTAACACTCAGTTAATAAATGAATAAATCATCTTTTATCGGATTTCATTATTAGAAATTAACATTTATTAGTTTTGGTCAACGAACAGTGTAATCCTATTAGATGAAATGTCACTCAAAACATATATTCTGTAAGCACACGCTTTGACACTAGCTGAAATCGTTATGAAATAACATTTTGTCCTATTTGAAACTCGTCAGCTGGATGTACCTGCGTCACAGAGTAGATGAGCACCATAGGAATCGAACCCAGTACCGGTTGCCTTGAATGACATTGCGTTATCCGTTTTGTTTATGACTCCATATAACCACTGGCTTGTGAAATGGGGTACATCCAGCTGACAAGTCTCATAAAGAACAGGATAAGCATCATGGATTCCACTTCTAACCACCATTTACCTCCGCTTATAATGCTTGTGACTTCATGATAATACTATGGTAACCCACACAGGATGGATATGTACCAAAAAGAAACTAATGAATCTCAGTCCTCACTATCAATGCGAAGATGCTAACAACCAATACTAATGGCTTACTCTATTACTTTTGCAATATTTTCGGTGTTAAATAAAGAGTTATAGTTTACTCTACATTGTTCTTTCGAAAAATCATAATAATTGGACTCATTCACCAAATATAATGTAAAAACAATTGTATTATTATTTCGGTTGACATTAAGTAACCGGCCTATATGATTCCCTACCACCCCTTTTAAAAAAATTTTGGGGTGTGAATGAAAAATTTAGGTATCGTTGATTGGTGGACTTGTTTTGCAAGTGTGTGCTCAAGTGATAATGAACAAACATTTTGTTACCTTTAATAATTTTGTGATTGGTCTTAAACTGTTCATCTTTGTAATGTGATTAGTTGAAATCGAAATCACATCTGGAGCTGTGATTGGATGTCAGAATTTTCATTTCTTACATTTGAAATTTAATGATAATGAATAATTTTTTTTGTGTAATCTTAGTCTTGAAAAAAATTTAGACTTTTGAAGAAAAAGACACCAACTTAATTGCATTACCATGCAATCCTACTGTTAGTGAATGTGTATTGGGATAAATTTTTGTTTTCCGATCTACTTTACCTTGAATTGAAGTCGTTAGTTATCGGAACACGAATAATTATATGTATCTCAGTAAAAAAAAGTTTTTGGGAAAAAGCATCTGTAAACCGGTTTGAATATTTGATAATAGTGATTACTGAATGAGGTCGGTAGTCAAATATTTAATACCAAATTAATAAACAAATTATCACCAAAGTGTGTGCATAGGTTTTTTTGTAACACACGGTGTGTTAATGGGAAAAAGAAATCAACATATCAATAAATCATCATGATAAATTACTGGTTGCAATATGTATAATTCAGGTGAACCAACCGTAGACGATCATTTAATGAACTGACTTTGACAGTATATGAAAGTAGTAATAAATTTTCCGAAATAGACACTTAATATTTAGTAAAGGATTATTTTGTAAATGTTCATTCATAATGAGAATTAGACAACGTTAGATTTAAATGTGGTTAATTTTAAAAGTCCATTGAAACGGTTTATTGTGTTCACTTGTAAATTATTTGTAGTTCTGTATTTTAAAATTAATTTTTTGGTCGTAATAAAAACTAGTGTGTGTTTAATCAGTCATGTGTGAATATTGTTAACCGCCGTAATATGAAACCTGAATTATCTAGACATTATGAATGTAACCGTTTTTGACAAGCATTTGAAATATCAGTTTCATGAAGTGTGAATGAACAAGCCTACGTCGTCTGACTGACTCAACAAATATCTATCGACATTAAATGTATAAATATGAATAAGGTCAACTGTATCAATGAACATTTACAATGCTATTCTTATCTATTTTCCTTATGATCGTTATTATTATTATGTCAATTGACAAGATTCAATTCTTGTACTATGTATTTCATTGACACAAAATTTTTTGCATTTTCAATTTTCCTAGAATGTTTAGTCACTTATTGTGACTGAACACTTTACTGCAAATCATCCCGACCTTTAGTGAATGACCTTTTTAATTTGTAAACATATATATCGTTACAGATGTAAACGTTAACCATTGTTAACATATTACATTGTCAAATTCATTAATGCCATGCTTTATTTTTGGACTTTATAAAATATTAAAATTATGGACTAATAACTGTATAGTGTGATGATGAAGTTAAGGAAAACGATTGTTTCCTAAATTATTTTTTATTTTTGAATATTTTAAGGGAATATTTAACTGGTACAATGAGATTGTACCAGTCATAAATAGTTGATGAGGTGTGCAAATGAAAACGGTGATATAATCAGTAGTTATGAATAACAATGGAGGCTTAGTTGACGATCAGACGTACTTCTTACGTACGCATAGTTCTGGTTTCAGGAAATTTTAATATAAAACAAGAATATGAAGTTCTTGTTTTTTGTATTCATGAAACGGATAATATTCTTATTTCTTTTTACACTTACTGTATGACCTTTTATCACATGAATCATTTCAATGATGATGGTTTCAACTTGTTTTCTAATGTCATTATTTTATTCTTAAATAAGTTAATTTTCTCAATTTCGTTTACTTCTCTATGAGGTTTAATCACATTCATCTTTGTAATTATCTTATTACATTCACTAATAAATGTCATCATAAATTTTTTGACCTAACGACAAAATTACGATTTTCAATCATTTAAAATATTCCTATTAAAATGTACTCAAAATGTACTTTTATTAGATAGTTTACAAATGTGTTACTAAAACATGAACGCTAATCACATTATTTTCAATATAAAATTACTAGATTAGTCTTCATTAGATGACAAAATCTTGTCTAAGTTTTCTTAACCTTTATATCTAATAAACGTAAGAAACAAGTTTACGAATACAAGAGCGATAATCGCTTTTCCACTAATAATCTCTAAGGGATATCTAAATTCATGAGACATTAATAAGTGCTTAATCACTTGACCTTTGCGGCGGAAAAGTAGTAGATAAAAAATAATGGAAATCAAATTGTGGGTGGCCCTGAAAAGGGCCTTTACTCGTTCTCGCGGTCGAACGTCATCACTATTAGTGAACTATGAAGTCATGAAGTGAACTGCATTGTTCCTCCGACATTCGCCTGATTAACGCTATCACTGCATTCTTCATGCTTGGCTGACTCAATTGCATTGGGAAATAATTTTCAACTGCAATATGAGTCAGATAACCATCATAGTGTAACCACCTGTCACAAATTGACTGTACGTTCACATCGGTGTTACTGTGTGTGCAGTAAGCCAATATGTGACGGCATGGTAATCCGTTTTCAATGAAGAATGGACACGAGCAACGGCTAGTGTCGACGTGTACGTAGTACGTCCCCGTGGCGTCCATAGCGGTGAATAAATCTTCCGTCAATGCAAACTGCGTTATAGGAATGCGAAGGTGTCGCTTCAGTAGTTGACAGGCAACTGGTGTCAGTCGTTCCTGAAGTCGACGTACTTCCGGCTCCTCACCAACACCGGCTTTCCCCCGACAATCCATCGAATATTTATGTAATCTTGCTTCCATCCAATATCCAGTACGAAGCAGCACATTGAAAATGGATCTGAGAACCGGTGTTTTTCGATTAAGGTGATACATCTTCAAGACTCGGTGGCTGGTCTCGACGAACTTCGTATTATTCAGTTCAAAGAGAGTGGATGGCGGTCGAAAAGCAGTGGACCATTTGTGTTTCCGTGGTAGAAGGTGGTCTCTGACGTATCTGCCAAATGTTCCGTCCGACATTTCGATTAACGAAAGTACGTTGTTAAAACTACAAAATCATGTTATGTAGATTTTGATTTACCTTTCAACCGTTCGAGTGAACATGAGGCGAAAGAACAGTTGTACAATTTCTGATCGCACCCTCTACAATAACGGTTACTGGGTTAATGTTAATGAACGAAACACTTACCCTGTTTATCACATTCCGAACAAGGTGTACGCGACACAGAATATGGTGTGCATCCGGATACACCTGCGTAATAGCAGCAGCAATTGCAGGTGAATCATCGGTCACAATGCCTACCAGTTGTCGACTGTTGGTACACCGTTGGAAAAAGAAGAGGAATCGAGAAATCAAGGCCGACATTTCGCGACTTAAAAAGGCAATGCACATGGGTATTGCCTTAAAATTCATATCCATGGCAACGACTTGATATAAATGGACGTTCTCGTTATTAGTTTTGTACGTCACGTCAAAACCAATTACGTCACAAAAGTGACCGGCCAAATTCACTTGCTCAGCAGTCATGAAGAAGAAATACGATAGACAGTTCTCATCGTCCAATTCGTATTCGCAAAGCCCACCCAAGGATGTTATGTGAGCTTTCAATTTCCCGTAATCACCTATAGTGTACATTATAAATTGGCAAATTCCGTACCAGGAAGGTTCGCGTGTGAGAACACTTTGTACCGCATATTGCAGACATCTTGAGCGGTCAGACATTTCCCATAAGATTGGTAAGCAAAATTCTTTA